TTTTATACTTTAAATCCGGAGCTTACTTGGATCGATATGCGATGGTGGAGTTATCTAGTTTCGACGAGTCAGGCCTATTGGCAAAGCTAGGATTGATTGTAGACGCTAAGTCCGACGCGAAGGGACTCCGAGGGTCGCTGAGACGATAATTCTGGTACGCTGAGAGGGTGAAGTACAAAACTTGGATTTTCCACTACGCTCCATACATTTTTATGCTATTGGAATGGTTTTGCGTCCGCCCGGAGTTAAATAACGAATATGCTCCGCATCCCACACAATTACTCAGCCTTTGCCCACCGCTATACCATGTCCCATACGATCCTGCCGTGTTTCCACGTGCTCGTCCTAGGTCCTAGAGGTAGCCTCGACGCGTCAATGCTCGCTTGAAGTGCCTCATCACGCTGTACTGCAGGCTGATCACGTGCGGATTAGCTCCGGCCGCTTGCTGACTGATACGTTCCGTCCGGCCGTCGATTTACGTCCGCTGACTCGGTCGCTTTGACGGAAACAAAGGGGCGTGATGACTGGGGAGTGCTAATACCAATGACGCACTGCAACGCGGGCCTCCGCCGTTCCCGGAGATAATTAGTCACAAAGGTATTCTTCCGGGTGACTTCGGAGCGTCTGGCTGCGGAGATAAATCAGATTGGTGATCTGCGCCTGCCTTGAGGACGTTAGAAGGTCCGGAATTAAATCCAGAACCCTTCGTCGGTTACTTGTAGCGTAAGAGGTCCGACAGGTGGTGTCGAATAAACTTTGGAGGGGATGTAGGATGTGTCAAATTCGCAATTTCGGGGGTCAGAAGATCGTTGGGGCTTATCAGCGGTCCGAGACAACTGAAGGGTATTTAATAGTTGGAGGGGGAAAGGAGGAGTAAGACACCGTAGGGTAGTCCGTAGGAAGACCTAGAAAAATAAAACAAAAACCTTGACGCCTGAAACAAACACTAGTGGACGCTCCGGAGCATTTATCTCCGGAAAGTCGCAAACAAAGTCGCAAACCACGAACCCGAGTATAGGTTCGGGCCCACGGGAGTAGAAAATGCTAAAAGGACTTGTTTAATTTTATTCCGCTATGTGAGACTCACCGGAGCTAATTGAATCGATGGCGGAGATAATTCACTTGATGAGTCAGGCCTATTGGCAAAGCTAGGATCGGTTATAATTCGCTAAGTTTAACGCTTTCGAACTTCTCGGGTCGCTGAGATCGTAACGCTAATTCTCTGAGATGGTGAAGTCGAAACTTATTTTTCTGTACACTACTTTGTACAATTTATACTACAGGAATGGCTTTGCGACCGTCCGGAGATAAATAACAAATAACCGCCGCTACCCACAGGATTGCTCAGCACTTGCCGCCACTATACCATGCACCACACGACTCCCTTGCACTCCTACTTGCTCGTCCCAACCCCTAGAGGTCACCTTGATGCTCTGCCACCTGATCCAAGCGGTCCCATCACTCCGTGTGACGCGCCGGTCACGTGCTAATTACCTCCGGCCGCTTGCTGACTGATGCTGGCCTCATGGTGACTCGTATGCGTCCGCACCTTCGGTATCTTGACGGAAACGAGAGAGGGATTGTGCTGGAGGGTGGGCATGAGGACGATGCCCCTCGATAGAAGTGCCCACGGCCCCGGAGCTAATTCATCTAGAAGTTGCGTTGGTTAAGTCGCTCCGGAGCTCCTGTTTGCGGAGATAAATCGCGGAATGGGTCCGTGTACGCCTCGAGGATGCTAGGAAGTCCGGAGCTAAATAGAGCAGTTCTGTAGAGCCCATAGAAGCCTAGTGGCGTGTGAGTGCTGTGTCGAATAAGCTCCGGAGGGCTTGTACGATGTGCTGAGTCCGCATTTTCGGGGGTCAGACGATCCTGAGGCTTATCACCGTATACGTTGATAAGCCTCCAGGATCATCTAACCCCGGAAATCACGGAATTAATGCTTCATTCATGCCCTCCAGAGTCTATTCGACATTGCGCTCACATGACCCTACACTATGATTGGCTCAAAATGATTTCTCGATTTAACTCCGGAATTTCTAGTGTCCTCGAGGCAAGTGCAGATTCCCCAAGATGATTTAGCTCTGACATCAGGCACTCCAGAGTGACTCAGGAAGCGACTTCAAGAAGAATTAGGTCCAGTGGCCTCGGGCACCTGTCTAGTTGTGAGTCATCCTCATGCCCAACTTCCAGCACTTCCTCCCTTCATCTCCATCAAATTACTGAGCTTGCGGATGTAAATCCATGCACCTTATGCTGTACTAGTATTTTAACACTAACCACTAAATCCTAGTCCCTCACATTCCAGTATGATGGCTGTAGATCTTTCCTGTGCTAGGGGCCATCTGTTGGTCCCCGTATGACAGCAGCAAGAAGCATCAGAGATCAGAGAGAATATGTCAGCCCAGAGACACACTATGCTCCCGCGGAGATTCCAAATATGTATGACATTGGATGATTCTGGCTTTGCCTCAGAAGTTGGCACATGGCTTTGGAACTACACATCATTACAGAGTGGTGCATGTACTGTATGTTGCCCTTGACGGGGCTTGTACACTGCCACAAGATTTGCAGACATGCTGCCTTTGCAACACGCGTCACCACGTCTTTACTATTGTGCCCCCGTGCAAACACAACCACATATCACCTTTTCGAGAGAAATATCATGTGACCTCTGCCGCCGCTGGCCACATAGCTAAAAATAGCGGACTTGAATGTATTGAGTAAGCTGTCACGCTCCAAGCCATTGTCACAGTCACACTCTCATAACCCATAGTCCCTGGAAACCCATATAGCTTTCGGCTTCCACCGACCACTATGATTAAGAGGGACTCTACTGTAAAATGATGGCCACCCAGTGACGTGTATGCTTGATCTATGCTCTCTTCTAACGTCTGGATTCCATTGCCTGCAGGCTTATCTCCGGGTCCAGTCAGTCAAACGCTGGCAATTCAGAAACCCCCGCGACGCCATGCGCTTCTTGTACATCGACAGGAGCTTTTGTAACGCATCGAACGTCTTGAGTGGGGTCGGCGCCATAGAGTCCAGCTTGCCCAAGGATCGATTCGTTTTCGCCGGACATCGTGAACTATCAGGACAAGTTAACGACAGCAGATGCACTCCAAAATTCAGCGTAGGTCTTTCCAGGAAATACTGTCTATCACGCGGAGAAGCAGGCATTGTCTATTAGCTGCTGAACGATTAGTCGTCGCCTCCCCGGCCATCTTGGACGCTCATTCGGTCGCTCCAGTGAGTGCCTAGGTGCCCGAAACCAGCAGGTAAAGTTCAGACAGCACTTGTCGTGTTCCATTCTTCAAGCCATGGAATGCTGCTCAGCTTCTTGTGATACATGATCGTCGGGTATCTGAAGAATCGACCCCCTTCGACTCTGAATTTTTTGATATGTCGCCGTGGGCTCCGCAGATGGGTGTCTTTTCTTCTCGTAGTAGCTTTTTTATGATTCTGCGGAGAAGAAACAAAGCCCTACGCTGCTGGAGTCCAAGTCTATGACGAGATGATTATGATCTGCACCGTCACTCTCCCTCCGTGTTTCTCATCATCGCATCGCGCCTACTACCGTGGCCATCATCTAGCGCAATGATGCTCGAGCTGAGTCCTTTCTATCTCTTCCGCATGTCCTGCATGGGTAGGCCCCATTTTTCCGCGTGCCCACGCTGTTCTCACCTCACGGAATGCATGCCAGCTCTGACGTCTCTGGCATGTATATCCTGCATTCGCTCACTGCTTTGCTCGCGCCGCGCATCCAGCGCAAGTCGTATATCTCGGTGCCGACGATGATCCCGGGGTTCGTGCTGCTACCAGCGTCGTACGCGTAAGCCCTTTCTCCTCTGCTCCCTAACGCTCATGACATGATATTGAGCCTGAGATGTAGCCTGTCTCACCCCCTAATGTGGTCCACGCAGACCCATCACGTAGCCACCGAGCTCGCATGGACAGTCACTGTTGTGCTCTTCCTAACCAGTACGTCTTCCTTCTGCAAACTCCAGGCATGCCCTAGGCATAATTCACTTCATCGAATGTTGCAAGTGCGGCAGTTTTCGTGTCGGGCATATCCCTAGTCCACGCTGATCCTGAGACATTTCACGTCTTCCACGTTCCCCCAATTACCTGGGCACTCTTCGGCGTCGGTGCGTATCCTCCCCCTTCCTCCCTCTCCCCTCTCCTCGCCTCGCTCACCACGCCACCCTCTACGCAACAACCTAACCGCTCTCACCCTCGTCACCTGCCTAAGCCTCGACACCTCCTCTGTTCACGCCACTCGCCTTCACCCTTCCCACTGCCCCACCTGCTCTGCCGCGCCCCAGGTCCCGAGCCGGCGTATCGTAGCCGCTACTACTGGTCGATTGCCACGAGCGAGGATATCAGGGGGTATTGCATGCCCGGGTGCGTGTGTGACAGGAAGTGTGCTGGGGGCGGCGAGGCAAGGGCGGATGGGAGGGGGAGGGGGAGGGGGAGGGGTTGATTCGCGTGCCGAGCGTGATGCAGCGGGTGAATAGCATTCAGGTCGGGTTGGGGGCTTACGTGTAAGTACAGCAGACGTGTCTCGTAGTATATCCCGTGCAACACGTGATAACTCAAGTCAGAATCTGTGCTATCCTATCGATGGAATGTCCGGATTTCTCTGAAGTCCGACCACTGGAAGCAACCCCAGGTTCTATAGAAGCGCGCCGGATAGGAAAGACATACGGCACGAGCAGGGGGGACGCAAAGACGGTTTCCTCTGACATACCCGACGCAGCAAGTCAGAGAACATATTTTGGGTTCGCAGGACGGTGTTGGTCTTTCCTGTCTCTGATGCCCTTGTGTTCTACGATTGCTACGCAGTGCCCCGAGGGACCCATTGTCACCCTCTGCTGCGCACCGCCTTAGACAACGGCGGCCACGTTCTCTTGATTGGCTTGATGGCATTTCCTGCCCATTGTCTTCGCATGCGGAGCATGCTCGGCGCTCTACCAGCGTCCAACATCAGCTTCTTAGACTACGGTGAGTGCCGTCATCAACCGCAGCGAAGGGAACCCTTACTCGGAGCCCACCATCCGGCGCTAAGCCTAAAGCAAACAGCACCGTCCATCAGCTGCCGTATGCATGTCCTCAAATGTTGATAGTGCACTGAGTCCTATCATCATCGCAGCATCAGTCTAGATTTGTCGTACATAGACAACCCGCGAGCGCCCATTGCGGGGGTTCATCGATGAACCTTTGCAATGGGCACTCGTTCATCCTGCACCCTCTATCCGGATTCAAACATTGCCGAGCTGTATACGGCGAAGTACGCATTCACGGGTGGCTTTACTGCGGCACCGTCGTACTAACCGTGGACATTCGATATCACCAAAGAGCATTCGTCGATAAAGTACTACGAGGGCGCTTGAGCACTATTTTTGCATTCTATTCCAGCACTTCTCGTTCTCATTCAGTAATGCTTCCACGCCTATTTCGCATGGCCCCGTAATGTTATGCCCTAACGTATATATGCCCTAGACGTCGCCCGGCTCCTCACGCGCAGGTGAAGATCATCCTAGATTCTTTCGTCCCTCGCTCACATCCGTGCCCCACCAGCATCTGCCACCGCAGAACACACGCTGCTCTGGAGAGATCGTACCCAACCTTGATGTCCGTCGCCCATAGTGCTGATCAAGGGGGACGTCAGGCTCGCAGGCGGACGTTGATGCAAACAGAATCCCAGCTTGCTGCCGGAGAGGAGGCACAGCATCTGCTTTCGTCGGCGCAGAAGCCTTCCGACCATGACACTTCATTTTCGACCGTCCAGCCAACCTCGCACGGAGACGTCGCTCTACCCGCTCACTCGGTGTCCAGCGTGGTACCTGCGGGCACCGCTGATCATGTATGCCCTCCTTTCCCAACCGGCTTCGGGGAAGGGGAGTCTTTCAATGGACGCCAGTGCAGTATCTCTGACTCTGAAAATTTGACCCTGAACCCGGGGATGGAGGGGCGCGGGGTTTTAGGACGTATCCAAGTGAACGGGGAGAAAATCCTTCGCCAGCTTAAGGCCCATTGGATTCTAGTGTGCTTCGCATCCGTGGTGGCCTCTCTCGTCATCAGTATCCCCATAGGGTGGGCTTTGCGTCTTCGTCCATTCCAGGATGCTGCAGATACCGGGGAGCCAGGGGTATACAACTATTCCCTCTCGCTCATGTCGCCCGCTAACGATTGGTCTTTTACTTGCAGTTGGCCTTGCACGCCACGTTGATTTCGGTGGACCCGGGCACAGGTTCCATGACAATCGATTGGGGCGTCAATGTGGGCCTTCATAGTTGCCAAGACTACCCGAACGCGACTATCAACTTGTACTTCGACCAGTGAGTGCTCGCACACTCGCCGTATGCGTCGTCCTTCCTCACGTCGCTTCAGGAATCTTCTACGCTCATCATCGTGCGAGTCGGGGAGCCCGTCCAACAACCGACCTTCTGTCCCTGTCTTCAGTATGAATATGACTGAAGAATGTCCCTGGGACTATTATGGAGACTCGGCGTATTTTCGAACTGACATCGCTATCGGATCTCTGCCAGGTTCGACTGTTCAATCGTATCCTTTCGACGTGTATGTCTTTTCTCTTCCGTAGGGTTCACATGAGACTCTCGATGCTATATGTTGTTGCAGATATTACGCCGATATCTCCATGTATACCGAAATACCAAACAACAGCACGCTAGTCCCTGTATCAATCACCAGAACCGGGGGAATCGCCGTGTAAGTGCCCTCTTTCCCGCTTGGTTGCCACCGGTGTGGACCTGTCCTCTGATACTCGTGCAGAGGTTACAGCACAATATTGACAGACTTGGAGCCGGGAACGTCAGTAATTGGGAACACTTTCAAGAGCAAACTTACAATCACCCGCGGACTTGTCATCCGTCTATACTCCGTGCTCATTGTCCTTGCAATCTGTATGTCTGATGCATAGCCTCACGCTTCTTCATAACCCTCGCTGTTTACAAAGCTGACTTGCTCGCACTTTGCGCAGGGCTCGTCACACTTGCATTCCTTGCGACATGCGTCGCTGTGGTGTTTCTGGGAAGACCAACGTCGGCAGCTGTCCTCGCTCTGCCGGTGGGGACTCTGTTTGCATTCACTCAACTCCGGTCGACATTACCAGGAGCACCAGCTGGATTCGGTACATATATCTTGCTCTTCTGTGATACTGTCAATTGATATGCACTTCGATCTTTCTAGGCGCTGACATAGGTGTGACATCAGCTATTCGTAGTACGCCCAACTCATCGTGCCCTCTAGATTTTGTCGGCATTTTGCCATGCCTGACAATAATCACCTTCTGCGTATGTCATTGATTGTTTTGCCCCGCTAGCCATCACTAAATCATACTTTTAGTCGGTTCTGATGATCCTAGTGTTCCTATACCGCAATCCCGAGTCGTGGAGGACATCTGAAGACAAAGATCAAGAAAAGTACCCGTCAAACTCATTTTCTTCCGAGTGTTAAGTTGGATGTATGACATGAAGAGGATATTGGGGAGTATTTGTGGGTGATACGTACTGTATATGAAACATGCATTAATTTTATCATGCCTCCTGAGGTCCAGAGAAATGGAGAGGATAAACACATTTGCTAGTACTTACAGGTACGGGTCGCCTGCCTGTCGTCGTCAATGAACATCCGTGAGATGTCGGAGTTTGCCTCAAGTTCGAGCTCGCGTCCTCAGGCCGTTGCCCGTCGCGGTGGTCGAGGGTACCGCTGCAGGCGGCTCCGACTGTTAATAGGATGAATGGTACCCAATGGACTATCTCAGGACTTGAACGCATAGCGCAAACGAGCTTGTCTTCCGTTTGCCAGACTCATCTTAACACCATCACTTTGTCGTCCCCGCAGACCCTCCACGGTCAGACTGAACCAAGCCGTTTTGATCAGTGTATACGAGTTCACTGGTACCCACTGCTCCAAACCCTACTCTTCGCATTACTACCCTCGGGTTGCACGCTAGACCATGATACATCCGCGACCTTGAACACGGTATTCAAGCCTCTATTTCTCGTGGAGAAGCAGCCAATGCCACAGTAAATGCTGATAGCGATGGCTCGCCTCAGCATACCAAACGGCTCGGGGCACTCACTCCGGGATATGGCGTGTCAAATTGGTAGATCCTCTACGTAATGGATCCGAGTCTGTGTTCGAGGCTATGCTTGCTGTGCACGAAGCGTTGCGAGGGACCTTCATTAAGTATGTTCACATGTATATTGTCTCCTCCCGTCACTGACACACGTCTCCTTGTTGTACTATGGTGTTCCCAATAACCTGCAATGCCGTTGGCGATGTCATTGCCGTGGCTCAGCTGGTGTACCAGATCGTGAAGGCGCTGAGCGACAGCCGAGGTGCCAGTCAGCAGTACCAGCAGCTTCTGCAGGAGCTACGGCTGCTGCAGGAGACCCTGGGCCACGCATCGACGGTGCTTACGAGTGTAGGTCGGAAGAACGACACCCTGGACCAGATTCTGGAGCAGGTCGCCCAATGCAGTACCGAACTAACCACGCTACATCGAAAGATCGAGGGGTACAGGAAGAAGTTGGCAAAGGATTCCTGGCGCGCGATTGGCTGGGCTTTGTTCAAGCAGGACGAAATGAAGATCCTGAAAGATAGATTCTCTCAATATCGAACTTATATCGTGCTGTGGCTGACAATAGGTAACAGGTGCAAGTTACTCGCTATTTCTTCACATACTGAGACTGAACGAGGTCGTGTTAAGCGCATCTGCGTCAATCTTGGTTCATTTTGTCGATGAGGCGAGGCGAGACCTTATGTCGGTCAAAATCAAGTTGAACGAAGTCCTGACATCCTTACGACGACTGCCCCGTGCGCTTGGATACTCGCTCGATAATGGAGTGCGGTTCATCGACGCACTAGGCAAGGACGTGATATTACCAATGACATTATGTAGCACCTGGGACGTGAGCAATTATGAGTTCAACTGCTCAACTGCGGTACTTACATGGTCTGACCGATGCAGAAATTCGATGCAATCGTCAAAGCGCACTTCAAGCAGCGCGTCGGGCAGATATACGTCGAGAGAGGGCAGTACGACATCGCTTGTGATAACTGCGGCGTTGTGATGGATCCGAAGACCTGGTCACGACGCATCAAGTGCGGTCTCGTTCTCGAGATGAGTATCGTATTATCCGAAGTTGGTTCAGCGCAGCGTAAGTGCCCGCGTTGTCGCGACCACCGCAGTATAATCCTTGTCACTGGCGGCTGGGCCGAATGGTGAGGCCAGTATTGTATGCCCATGGTGAGGGTTTCTGAACTCGGGACCCAGCCTAGCTTGCGACGCAAAATTCCGTTCCGATGATGTTGGTTCGGATACCAGTGCACTAGATGCGAGAACAGCCGAGCCGGATGGCAGTGGTAATAGTGCGGTGGGCATGACTAGGCCTGTCACCGTGCAGGAGTCGCATGCGAAGGCTCGCCCATCAACGGCCGACCTTCGCGAGGAACTGGACCTTGAGGACCCCCGCTTCTTCAAAAGCTTCCACGTCTTCTATCTCCCAAGACTCACCTCTGACCCCGTTAATCCTGTTACAGTAAGCGTTTCATATCGTGCTTCAGCCAGAAAAATGACTGCATGCTTACTAGAACGAACCGCCTGAATGGCTTGCCCAAGCTTTGCGTGAAATGCGGGAGCAACATCCCGATGACCGACTCGAGACCGTGCCGAAGGCCACGTCGCATACAGACCCGCAGCGGCGAGTCATATGTCAAGATTGCCCTGGCAGGGTTCGTGGGTCCTCAGCTACTGAAGGCAATATCTGATAGTCGATGCAGTTATATAGTGTCGGGCCAGGTGAAACCCTCAAAAACTTCGAACTGCACTTGAAGAATCGACAGCACCGGCAAAGAGTTGCCGACCGCGTTGCAAACGCACAGACAGCCGGACATTGAGGCAACTCATCTTATGCCATGGTATGGCTCATCGCAAGGATGTATTTCAGTCTCGAGACTAAACCCATATACATCAATACACTAGACAGGAGTATAGCGAGGCGCTTAGCGAGTACAGCCCTGCGAAACCCAGGCCGTCATGGTATATCACGTACAGCCGCGAGGCATGGTGCAGCCCTCACTCCATCAGTCCCTTCTCCGCCGTCTGTCTTCGTCCCGGTTGCGGTCCCTGTCCGACCTGTCGTAGTCCCGATCCCTTCGACTCTCCCTCCGTCTATCATCATCACGGTCTCTCCTGTCCGACCGCTCATAATCCCCATCCCGGTCTCTCCGTCTGTCATCATCGTACCTCCGGCGATCCCTCCTATCCCTGTCATAATCTCTGTCTCGATCCCTATCCCTTCGCCCATCGTCCCGGTCCCGACCCGGTGACCGCCTCGCAACCTGTCCCTCCGGCGACGCCCTGCCACTCCCGCTCCCACTTCCAGACCCTTCCCGCTCCTTCTTGATGACCGGCACATACTTCATAGCAGCGCCCTTCCCAACTCTCTTCTTCTTCCCGCTCCCGTCGTCCAGCACCTCCCTCTCCTTCGCGCCGATGCCCAGCAGGGCCGGCCGTGACTGGGGTAACCACGGCTCCACGGGGCCCTTCTGCTTCCGGCTTGCAGCCTGGCCCTCCTTCCACCCCATCCCCCGGAGCATAGCGGCGCCAAATTGCGAGACGGGGACGCGTTCGTAGGCCTCCATCGAGGCCACGTCTGGTAGTTCTGCGACATCTTGTCGATATGCTTCTTCCTCGCTGATCGGGCGGATTGCCTCGATTACAGGGCCGTCCCCAGATCCTTCGCCCTTGACCTCAGCCAGGAGGGCGCGCAGCGCGCGCTGGTCCTCGCTTTCTCCTTCTTTCTTGACTTCTTCTTCTTCCATCTTGACGTCCACTTCCGTAGTTACCTCGGTAGTCTGTACACCATCCATGCCGTCCTCAATCTTGATCTTCTTTGCCTTGAACTGCAGCCCAATTCTCTCAGGGCCCGAGTTAATCGAATCCCGAGTGCCCAGCCCCCCAACGCTGCCATCCGCGCCCGTCTCCGCCTGCGCACCCGGCGGCACATAAATACCCGCCTTCCTCTTCCTTGCCGCCTCCCGCCAGTCGCGGTTCTTCAGTGCGGGTATCACCAACGGGCCCTCCTTCTTCTTCTCATGTAACCTGTTATTACGAAGCAAAAGCACCGACGCTGCTGTGAGTTGAGACCTGCCTGCGCGCGGGCGAGCTTTAGAGATAATGACACACCGCTGCACGCCGAACTGGTCGAAGCCCGTCACGAGCTCGTCTACGGGCTGCGCGTCGTCATCGTCGCTGCTGTCGTCGCGGTCGCGGTACATCCGTTTCGGTGTCGGGGACGAGTTGGCGCTGCGCGCAAGCGGGCTGCCTGGCGCATCCCTGTCGGCTAGATGACGCGGCAGCGCTGGAATTTTGAACGACGGGGCGTCTGAGTCGGCTTCAGAAGAGTTTCTTGAGATGGGCGTCGGTCTACGAACCGTGAAAGAGACTTTGGACCCCGCTGCGGACATGGTGGTGGTTGGAAAGGAGTGGTGGCGTATGAGCGCCACCGGCTCCGGAGTGTGGCGATGATTCGCAGACGTACTCTCGTGAAGCGCAGTGAGCCTAAGCGAAGTGGGTTCTGCCACAACCACAATCTAAAGCCTTACGAATCCCGGGAAGCACGTATACATGAGGCAATACGCCGCAAAGGAGTATACATATTCATTATAAGTAGTAGAACAGTTTATGCGTACAAAGAGAATGGCTACAGTCCAAAGGACATACGAGCGGACAGGGCGATTATGGTATCACTTCGGCGGAGTGCCAGTACGCACGAACTACTTCGAGCGCAGCATTACCTGATGATTCAGAACAAGGGACATCGAGAGCGGCAACAGGAACGAAAGCAAGGAAGACACGACAGCATGAGAGACATATTAGCGGAGCATAGAAGGGACAGGCGAAGGGTGGAGGGTGACTTCAAGTCTCATGGACGTCGTACGGATGCCGGACGAGCTCGTCGTACAGTTCAGGCGGGAGATCACGGACCAGCGTGACGCATATCCCGATGACCGGCTGGGCTTCGAGGGGCGGGAACTGGCGGAGTCGTTTCATAGGGCTACAATATATATATTATCAGTGCTCAATGAGAAGGCGAAGGAGATGGATGCGTACCTTGGTTCCTCCATGACCTCGTCGCGCATGAGCAGAAGCTGCGCGATGACGCAGAGGACGTTAAGGTGGACGCCGAAGGCGAGGAGGAAATCCCACAGGTGGAGGACTTCCTCGAGTGGAGGCGTGCATGCGCAGAGCGTGAGTACAGCTAGGAACCATTAGCGGAGCACTACGAGGAGCACTATGAGGATGGCTCACATGGGAACGCATACAACTCCGCGGACAGATTCTTCGATCTTAGAAACGCGAACAGTTCAGGGTCCAGGATCTTGAGACACCGGTCGAGGAGCTGCTGCGTCTGTAAGCAACAGCCCAAGCTATGCCTCCGAAACGCACCTTGAGCCCGCGGTGGACACCCTCTAGCGTCGGCTGGACATATAACGGACAGCACTCCTCGATGAACTTTGAGAAGCAGAAGAAAGCCTCCAGCTCGGAGGGCATGGTGTACAGAAAGGGGGCGGCGAGGACGTTCATTCCCTGGACATACGTGAAGGCTAACGAATGTGATTCTTGTCGGTCTGAAGGTCTTGCTCAGTCTGGCTGCACGAATTAGAGGAAAGGGGGAGCTCACCGTGGTTGCGCCAAACGAAGGCGTCGAGCAGTCGTACGAGCATATCTTCCCGGACGCGCTCTTTGAATCCGCGGTCCGTGGCCAGTGTTCTGCGACATACGTTAGTGAAACTTGTTTCTTAAACGGCGTGCCAGCTGGAGTCGGACGGATGAGAATAAGGAGATTGTAGGAAACAGCTGATAATCGTCTGCAGCACGATGTACTGCACGACTACGAACAAGTTGTGAGAGGCTGGGTTCAGCGGCGAAAATGCAACAGTATAGGTTGGCGCATTGAGCCCACTGAATCCAGAGCGCAATGGAGCAGCCATGCAGCGCACTTTCTCGGGATACAATGCAATATCGCCCCACTAGGTACGACACCGCCATGGAGGGCGGGCATGAACTAAGTGACTATTGAGCCAAGCCCAGAGACTTGCAGAGAGGGAGGCGGTAGGAACACGTGCTGATCATTTGGGAAGAGCGCGTGTACCTCTCGGCTCTCTCTGCAAGTCTCCAGGGTTGGCTCAATATAAGACTGACGTGAGGCGCGAGTCTGTATAATAGTGGATACACCATGGTCAGAGGAGCTGACATTGGATGTCACAAGATCACCGTGATGTTGCACGAAGTCGGTCCATTCATCTTCCGACGTTCCAAAGCCACCAAAAGACACAAAATCCCCCGAGAGCTCGTACCACCCACGCAACTCGCAAGCTCCGACACGAATTGGGTGGCAGTATGCGGCCCAAAGAATTGAGACACCGGACCTGCAGCCGAGCAACGCTACGATCCAATGCAGCGAAGGCCCATTCCCCTCCCCCAAATCCGTCCATAGGCCAGGAATCCCTCGATGTAGACTCGCATGACTCACCTGAAGGTGTCATTCCTGATCTTCTCCCGAACTTCACAAGGCCCGCGGCCGACGTACTCCAAGAACGTCCCAGCCGATACATCGTTTACTCGTAGTAGTATCTTCCATATCCTAGGGCGTAAGGTGGGATCCTGTGAACAGTCGATTCCCAACTATTCTCCCATTGTTCCTGAATGAACGAGGAATAGACTTACGGTCGACGAGGGAATGGTTTCCGTCAGGATTAAACGTCTCAGCTTCTTTATTCTGTCCTCTACATCCGTAGGCGATTGATTTCGCGACGAAACCTTCGGCGCGTTCAGGATCTTGTTAAACGCGTGCGCCTTTGCAGCCGGGGAAGTCTCCAAGTCAGACGACATATTTCAACATACGTTTTTGAACCAAGGAAAGCAGAGTTAAGAGTTGTCAACTAATCTAGAGTAGAGAGGTGGCCGCCGGCAGGGAAAGGAAAGCCTGAAACGAGGATCAACAAGCGCAAGACGAGGCAGGAGGAAAGGATGGAAGATGTGGCTGTACACCGCAGCTGCTCTTGTCTTCTCCGCATAATTAACTCCTTCATCACAAGCGGCAGCGATGGACGTACCGTTCATGTCGTCGGGTGCGATGAGCAGGGCGCAATACGCATTCGTGCGCAAGGTGGAGACCGCCGACTCAGTCTCGGAGGCGGAACAGCATATCCAAGCGGAGGTGGAGGTTATACGGCGCCAGCTGGGGGACCCGGCGCTTTCTCTTGTACGATTGCGTTTGCTATTTGGTTGATAGCGATACCTTGAACTGAACCACAGAGACAATGCAAAGAATACCTTGTGATGCTCCTCTACTGTGGTATGAATGTGTCCGTGCTCCCTCCTGGAGGGATGGATTTCGCGCTGCCGCATGCTGTACATCTGGCAGAGTCTGGCAGCACTACGCAGGACAAAAGACTAGGTGAGCAGCAATGCTAGGAGCTGTTAAACTAGGGTAGGTGATAGACTTGAGCCTTGCCCAGGGTATGAGTTTTGTGCCCAGATGATGCCTCCGAATCACGAGCTGCAGCTCATGCTCGTTAACACTCTACGTAAAGTGCGAATTGACAGTCCATCTGCTGCCGATTTCCTTGTAATGCGGGAGCGTATCTGGCCATGCATCGACTGTTCCATTCGGGCCCTCGTCTACAAATCGATACGTATGTGGGGACCCGCATGGCAGAGTACAAAGCAGTCAGCTTGACGCTCCATTAATGCATTGTAAGAGGATCGGCTGCCATATCTCAGATCTAACATATCCACCAATTCAGGACCTCGAATGCTCTCAAATTCCACGAATATGCCTAGCACTAGAAACGCTCATCCACTCCCCCTTCCAGGACGTCGTCCCGGCCGTGCAGTCCCGGTTACACGATCTGCTCTCCCACAACTCGTCAGTATGTATCCCATATCCTATACATCTACTCGCAGGTTAAACTTTCGCGACCCAAGGCCAGACGTCCGTAGACGTGCCCTCGCCGCGATGTGCGCGCTGGCGCGCCAGGAGCCTCACCTCCTCGCTAATGCCGCTGAGAAAGTGGTAAAGCGTCTGAAAGACCCTCAGCCGATCGTTATTAGTGCTGCTCTCACGGCTGCGATCGAGCTTTACAAGGTATATTCCAGAGATTTGTTCAAGCAAGGGTGACCGCTGAAAGAGTTCGTATGTAGTCTGGCCATGCACTATCCTCCCGAGTCGCGTCCATAGTAAATGCGCTGCTGCCGCCATCCTGGGATCCTAATCTGGACAAATCTGAGTACTGGTTCTTGTTGAGAGTCTTGAGCGCTCTCCGCGTATTTGGGTATGAGTATTCGTGAAACCCAAGCGTCTCGTCGCATCCTGACCTCCGCAAAGTCCTACAGCGGAAAATCTCCGATTGATACTGCAGATTATTGAATGGGCAGCGAATATAACACCCCTTCCCCGATGTCAGTCCTATCCGTCTCATTGTCGAATACTAGTACTTATTCTAACCCTCCCAGCCTTACTCTATCAAGCGTTCACCGTCCTATCCACGCGAAAACCCGCCGTGGTCGCTATGGTCCAGTCGTCTCCGCAAACCTGCCCGATTCTTCCGATCAGGAACCTCATCAACTCGACGGATCCGGACGAGCAGTACCTCCTCCTCTCGTGCATTGAATGCCTGGACGCTGCCGCGTGGGCAGGCACAATACCTGAGGTTCCCGGCGTCCTGGACTCCTGGGAGGTCGAGCGGATCATGACGTTCCTTGACTCGCCTGACGAGGCTATCCGGCGAAAGGTACGCACAAACCGGTTCTCAGTCCAATATCTAGGATTGAGGATGTATTCTGCAGACCCTGGGCATACTGAACGCGGTGGACAGCAATATCGTGCAAGGGTGCTATGCCCGGATCCTGGAGAACATCCCGGACGAGTCGTTCGTCGATGAGCTGAATGTTGCGGCTCAGCGTGCGCTCGAGGTCGTGGAGGTCCTGGATGGCGACGACGGCGCAGCATACGCCACACGACTCCAGAACGCCTTCGCCGCTTTCGAAGGGCGCGGCCAGAACATCGTCCTAGAGAAAGCTGTAGAGAAAGTGCTGACGCGTTTCCGCACATGTACGTGGCGTCCCTTTATTTCATCGTAGGCAGTCGCCGGACTTAGTTCGCTGTATTGCTGTAGCTGAACGCGAGTTCCGAGTTGCATGTCTGACCGTCCTACTCGAGCCTCTGCAAGACGCCACAGCCAAAATGGGCGCCACATCGATGGTCATCGTCACAGCACTGATAGTAGAGCACTTACCTATGTGCCCTGTTCCACCCGGGCGGCTGCTACAGGGGCTAGCTGGGCGGCTGTCCTCGTATCCATGTGGGTCCCAGCTTTTGTTTCCCCGTATAGTTGGTGTTGCCATTCTGACTGGAGATCGTTGATTCTGCGCGTGTGTATGCTTCTCGGGTGTCACGATGTGTTGCACAGCGTCGGTTAAGGATGCTTGTTTGGTCGCGATGTTGAGGTTGTCGGCAGAGTGCGAGGTGCCTCCCGATGTGACAGAGCGTGTGAGAGAATTGTCTGAGCGCTCTGGGCGATATATTCGACAAGTGAGCGTTTGTTATTTCTATGCAACAAAGCGCCTAGAGGAAGATGCTGATCTTGTATTATAGCGCTGCCAGCAGTTCATCAGTCTTAATACCCAAAAGGAAATTCTTCAGCGTGCCGTGGCGCATTCCAAAACATCATCTGTATGTGCATCGTTCCACACGTACCCTCTCCCCAGATCTCATTTCTACCTAGCTTCCGGATTTTCTAATCTCGCTGGAAGCGAGCATCGCATCATCCGCTGACTCACCGACTAAGCCTCGGACATCCAGTCCTCGGCCGACCAGTCCACAAGATGGGCGCTCGTCCCGCGCCTCGCTCTCCGCGAGCAAGCTGCGCTATGATGCATACGAGCCTCCTCGAACGCAGGCGCGATTGCGCGCCCATCGTAGCGCAAGCAGTTCCCGGTCTGTAGGTTCCTCGGATCTCGGCAGCCCTCGCTCGGAGCGCTTTGCCCTTCATGACGATCCCCTGTCGAGGACTGTCACTGCTGGTGACTTGACGCTTGCGGCTGGGGATCCTGAATTAGTGCGGACAGCTCGTGTGAGTATACTGTTGCTCCTTCGATCCTCACTATGCTGATTGTTTGTACAGGAACAGAAGCACAGTGTTAGAGCACCCCAGCAGGTACCGGACTTGCTGGCTGATGCAGAGGTATGACTCATTGTTTGCACCTCGGAGGACTCACGTAGCTTACTGGCACGTCTCGCAGATATCAAGGTCAGACTTGATAATACTGGAGTCACCCTTCTCCTCGGAGCCCGTCGATCTCGCAGCTTCGGGTGCCGAACCCGACTTCGAGACCATATGGAACGCTATGGAGCCGTCGAATCTGCGCGGATGGTGCGATTCCTCCATAGACGCTGTTGTTCGCCAGTTCCAGACCCTGCAGCTTGCTATGCGAGTCATAGCAGCAGACCAAGCACCGTTTGAAGGTACGCATTTTTCATTGTACAGTGCTTCCTAGGTGGGGATAGCGCTGATGTGTTGCATTCAGGAGACCTGAAGATCATTATATCCTCTGAAGCGGGGTGGTCAGACAATTTTAAGGGGGCTGTTATGCGGCTCAGAGAAAGCGACGACGAGAGCTGTCTATGGAGGTTGCGATGCGATGATATCGAACTCCGAACCCGCCTCAAGCGATTGTTGTCCCAGGAATGATCCCTGTAGTACTCGTAGACACCCCGGTATCTAGTCGTATCCGGTAGGAAAGTGCAATGGCTGCCTGGAATCGCGTACAGGACTGGTGCAGATGAGTTCTCTATTTTAGGAAGTGCTGTGAAGCGCGGTCAAGCGCTCGTGGGCAGAGTGGCGGCGCACACTTCCCGACTCCCGACTCCTGTGCCACCAACACCGCTTAGTTTAGCTATCTGTGACAACAGCGCGTTGTGCCAGTGCATGAGCTTCTCGATGGAAGGGTTGGTCCCAATAAGGACGCGCTTGTTTGCTCTAAGAGTGCATTTGTTTTGATCGTCGTACCCATTCAAGCATATTCAAGGACGGCGTTGATAGGTCGCCACATTTGCTCCTTGTCCTATAAGATGGACCTCGAGACAGCTCCTCCTCCCCCACCCACCCACACGATAGTAGATGCCCTCTCTCACTTCCCTTGTCCACCTGAACATCGCCCCGGATGTAATCCCACCTTCCCTTTTCCCTCGCAAGGGGGGAGGTGGTGGTGGCCACGGGGGCGGCGGAGGTGGCGGCCACGGTTCCTCGAGCGGTGGTAAATCAAGCGGGGGTTCGAAATCATCTTCCTCCTCATCGTCGAAAGGCAGCTCGGGCTCCGCCCCTGGAAGTTCGAAATTCTCCTTCGGTTCAAGCACTGGCGCTTCCGGACGTTCCGCCACAGCGTACTCCAACGGTGGCGGCAAGCCCTTTACTCTGTCATCTAGCTCTCCATTCTCTGGAAGACAAGCCGGCGGAGGAACAAGGGTCAGTATTACCCACTTACTCGGCGATGTCGCATAAGGCTCATTCCGTTCCCACTTCAGGACCAAGTATACGGCACCTCGCAGTATGGTAGCGGTTATCCATACGGTGCATCTGGCAGCTACGTGGACAACAGGCCTTTCCCTTATGTCTTTTGGCCGGTACCTATTGCGCCACACTACTATGGGTGTGATCCGGTAAGGTCCCACCCTGCATACCGATAGTATCTCGCTAACAACTCATGCAGTATGCCCAATACAATGGAACGGTCAGACCAGGAGGCAATATGACGACCGCAATCATCACCCGTAATAACGCACAGAACACTTCCGAAATCTACCGCCTCATCGGCGACGAATTTTCGGTGCAGGAGGTCCTGAACGCTCTGGTATCCAACTGTACGGTCAAGAACACGACACTGGAGTCCTTCAGTCCGGAGGTCTACGCCTACCCTCAGCCGGAGCAAATCATCCAATGGTACCGCGCCTCTACCTTCGGGTTGGGCCTGGATACGTACAACAATTCCGCCGCGCTAGCTTCAAATATGCCCTCATCAAATGACACGAGCCCTCCTCCCCTCAGCTCAGCCACTCCCCTGCCCGCAGGGCTGAACATGACTTTCCTGACCTGTTTAAATACAACTATCGCCGCATCCCTGCCCTTGATGGACCCGCCAGAGAAGCACCACCTCTCTTCAAGCACAATCGTCGCGATAGTGGGAGGTTCGCTGGTCGGAGCGTTGCTCGTGCTATATTGTCTGTGTGGCTGCCTTGAGGGGAGAAGCCGATCGCGATATCGAGAGAGCCTGGCTGTACCCGTGGTCGAAAAAAGGAGTACTGAAGAAAAGAGCAAGGTATCATGGCTTTCACGTCTCTCATGTAAACGGCCGCACACCGACGAGGTCTCGCACTGATTCTCGCCCTGCGGAAGGATTATGCGGACTATATTATGCGTCTACGAATGAGCTCTACGAATGAGCTCTCATGGACTCATACTCACGCTCATTATTTGATGATTTACTTGTGAATATCCTATTGTCTATGATACCCGCCATACAATCCTTATGCTGTTATGTCCATGCAGAAAAGAGAGCCTCTTAAGGCGATCAGAGAAGTGTTCAATTGTCCTATACAATTGTTTCTAGACAGTTACCTGCCTAGCCCGGGCCCGCATGACAAGGCGGACGAGCAACCTCCTGGATTTGCGTGCTACGTATGAGGAACAAATATATCGCATTGATGGGATACAGTACAGATTATAAAGCAAGGTAAAATACGAGGGCAAGACATCAAATACCCCGAGCATCTTCAGACGACATCACGACGCAGTCAAGGTCAGGTCAAGTCGATGAAGTCGTTATGATCTATGGGCGCCTTCCTCTTCTTGGTTGGAGCGACCTGCGTTGCTGGTCGGGAAGGCAGCGCTGACGATGATGGGATCGACGCAGCTAGCACACCTGCTGACGTAGAGCTGGAGGCGACTGGAGGCCTCGGGGCAGCAGGCATCGACGCTACGATTCGTGCAGTAGATGAGAGGTTCTGCCTCGGGGCAGCGCTCGCTGGCTGGCCGGACGCCACTGTTGAATTTTTGTGCACACTGGGGTTAGCGTCCAGCCGCTCCACAACAGCGCCATAGTCAGCGCCAAAAATCTTTTGGAGTTCCTGCTTGCTTGTACTGATGCTGTTCAGGATATTTCGTCCCTCGGTTTGATGCGCCCTATACGTGGCTGGCTTCCAAATACAGTCAGCCTTGGTAATCTGCGAACTTTTCAGGGAACGTCTAGCATAGGAGAACAGTCCCAAACATACAATTAACCCTTGAGGACTCGATCGAATCATTTCATAGGTGGCTGCCGAGCGGCAGTACCTATCAAGATACTGCTCGACATGTCTCCGCTTCGGAGCACCGATACGATATAGAGTCAACTGCCGCTCAGGACTGGCGGTATTCGTGAGGAACTGAACGACTCGACGGCACTCGTTACATAGGCAATTGACTTGTTTCACGGCTGCCACAGCCTGGGCTGTACCCGCTTCGGTAGACTTTGCTCCCAAGACTTTGTTTAGCCATGCAACCATGATGGCTTTGAAAGCTGACGAGAAAGGCTCTGCAGCGGCCGATAGATGGTGCTTAACCAGGAATCTTCGTAATTCTGGAATAAAAGGTACGAGGATCCGCTTGATATAGTCTTCGGATACGTCTCCCCCTGGATTCAGGAGTCGCAGTATCACCCGAGCGCGCGACGCAGGACTCGCTTTCTGGCAGAACTCCAGATACTCTATTGCCACAGCAGTAGTCGTGATCCTTGCTTTGCTGACGATGAAATTGACGAGATCTGCGGTGACAGACGAGAGGGAGTCCTTTGCGGTGGCTGGCCAGTAGAATTCTTCTCGACGAGCGTGCATTTCCTCTACGAACTTACGCTGCTGAGTGTCCGCAGGGAATTTCTTCACATTCAGTATAATCCTGGAGTATTGAACAAGATCCAGCGTCAATGGTTAGATGGCAAGCGGAATAGGCAGTGGGCGCTCACTTTGATGACAATACCGTCGAATCCCCACTCAAAAGTACCGCTTCCAACAAGGAAGTTACGCCCGAATCCGGCACAGGGAACTTATCCCATTGCTCGATGGTAGTCCGAGCAAGTGAAGCAACGTGAAAGGCCGCCTGGACGATATTCCCTGACGTACCGAGGATAATGCGCAAGTCAGAGACAAGAGGCAGGACAACATGAGCAAGCCGTTGTTGCATAGTAATGGTGCTCGAGCTAGGCAGCGCTCCGAAAAGCTTCTGGAAAAGTTCCCCGAGTAAAAAGTCATTTCCGGTTTTCACGCACGCGCCGACGTAGCCCTTGGTAATCTGAGGGTCCGGCATTCGAGGTGCATAATAATTTGAATATTGATAGCCCGAGTTCTGCAAGAGATTGTTGGTCGGAGCAGCATAAAGATCCGCCTTCTGTATCGCGTATATCAGAATGTCTCCTGTGCAGTGGCGCAGAGTCCAAGCACTAGCCGTCAGACTTAATTCGGCTTCGTGCAGCTGCAGGGATAGTGCAAATTCTTTCAGGAACTCGGCACTTCCGACCGCCTTTACCTGAGGTATGATCCTGTGGCACCATTAGCTGCTGCATCTGCAGAAAAGGCAGAAGGAGCAATACTCACACGTCATGGAGGAACGTAAGGCCGCCGTTTTCAAGTGATAACTGGATCAGCATGTTGCCTTCTTCCTTGGTAGGCGCCTTGAGACTCCGAACAAACTTCTCATGCTCCTCGGAGATCCAAGCTGTGAATGTTTCATCTCGAGGTTGCGTATTGCCCAGGCGTTGGCTAATCTCGCGTATCAAGTCATACCTGCTTTGATTGCCAGGATCATTTGCCAGTATGCGCTCGAGCCTGCACCCAATGCGTGAGTATTACGATATGGATCACCGAGAGTGCTTACGTCGGCCGAACTGATTCGAATCCAAAGGTTTCTATGGCCTTCAGAATTCCCGGTGTTGTCAGCACACTGACGCTTCGAGTAGCCACACAGGATGTGATGACTTGCTGCCACAGTCCGAAATCCTCCCATTGGCAAGCAAGCCTGCTTACGGCGCGGGCGGCGGGACCGAATGCACGAGGTGTGATATAGCGGAGGACGTACTGCACGAATTCTTTCTCTTTCGTTGTTGGCCGTGCGGACTTAATCTTCCCTAGCTCGGTGAAGGCGTAGTCGTAGTCCTCTCCCCCGTAGATGATGTCGAAATGGGACGAATCCGGCCATATAACAAGCACTGTACGACGGTACCCTGAAAGCACGTAGGTGTTAGTGTCAGCGTAGCATCCACAATGAAGCACTCACATCGTTCAAGGGAACCCGCGCCCTAGGCGTATGTTAGCCTTGATCGCGGACGCATATACGAGGTGGGTGCTTACATTACCCATATACCCCTCGTATTCTTGTTCATCATGAGGCCCTGACTCTACCGTGTCACGTAGGTCGGACGGGATAGTCTCTTCCTCCTCGTAGTCCAGAGTCTCTCGTATTCTCGTTCCATACAGATCGACAAGGTCAGTGATCGACATCTCCCGATCTATCACTTCCGCCATAGAAACGTCGTCGTCGTCATCATCCTCCTCGTCGTACCAGCAGCCGTAACGCCCGCCGCCGTAGTCATCCCCGCATCCGGTCACATGACACTCAACACTAGCCAAACCTATATGGAAGCCTTGCTCCTCCGCCAGGCGGTTCAGGAGGGAGAGTATATGCGCGTCTTTGCCCTTCAGCGAGCTCCCCTTGAGGCCCTCCTGGCCGTACCTATGCTCAAGGAGATATACGAGCTTGCTCGGCGCTGATGCTTTGTCTTCGTTCTTCTGGTTATGCTTCCACGAACGCAGAATATGTCTGAGGCTGTCTGCGGTTGCGTCAGTGGACGGCAGGGCGGGTCCTACGGCCGTGGTGGTGTGCATGAGATTGTATGCCAATGCGAGCCGGTAGCCGCTGGTGATGGGCTTTACCTCGTGCGTCACGTCGGTGTACCAGGACAGGATAGTTGTCTCGTATCCACTTGTCGCGCTGCAGTCAAGGACTTTTGAAAGGCTACCATGTGAGACATGCACTTCACCACCGGTGAATTGGGAGGGAAGCACAATCACGACGGTGGCGAACATTCCTGGTGCTTTCTCTGTACTGGGGAACGATCGCCATCAGCGAAAAGGGAGTGTAATATTGCCAATGAGAACTCACTCCTTATGCGGCAAGAAACTGTAGCATGACCCGATTGAGAGTTAGAACGTTACGAGACTCATGAAACGACTCACTGAGATCCGGTCTCGTATAGTAGAAGCTTATATAGTTCACATTTTGGGTTGCTGGCTGCGAAATTGACACCTAGGGTTTGGCATACATCTCGGATAACGGTCTGGATGTAAGTCTGCCAAGCAGGGTTCCCAAAGCGAACCTACACCATCCATATGAGCTCCATTCTTCCCCTTGAAATCCATACATACCAGGGATGCGTCCATTTCCCAAGTATCCCTCACTTTGGTATCCACCACGGTACGCTCGGCTTTCCCGAAAGGCGCTTGGATGCATCGAGAGGCTATCACCTTCGCTTCTCTCTGGCTGAGAGGTAAGCCAATCGGACCGAGGTCTGCGAGCTGCAAAGCTGGATTCGGCGCATTCGGGGCGGGCTTTGATACGTAGAAGGATCCGGTGAAGCCGAGAGAGCCTGAAAGCGCGTCTTGGAAGTCCGACTGTAGGCAAGATTAGGGCGGAATACATGGCACCAGTAGAATGCACTTACCCGAATGTCAATGCTGGGGTTGTCAACCGAGCCCTCGTCCTCTTCCTCATCATCCTTACTTTCGTCCTCCTCGTCTTCTCCCTCTCCGCCCTTCTGTTCTTCCTTCATTTGGTTCTTAGACTCCTGATCGGCATGTAATCCCTGAGACACCTCTCGCTTAACCCAGCTAGCCATATTGTCTTGCTGAGCTTCGACGTTTTCCGTCGATTTCAGGGGCTTCTGGTCGTCGACCCCGGATTTGTTCTCTTGAGGCTCCGCTTTGACTAACCTTGCTGTTTCCGACAGTGCAGACTTGGACTCCTCAGGCTCTGCTTTAAACTGTTGCGCTTCATCTTCCATTTTGCATTTGGTTTCAGATGTATCCATAGCGTAGACCTGTCGCAAACTCGTATTTATATCAGGGAACAGTAAAGGCAGAGTGACTTACAGCGAAAAGAGACGGGCGCAACGAAGATGATGATAAATGTACCTCTTCGTGGTAGGGCGTTAAGCGGAGAGGCAATATGACATGCAAGGCAGCGGAGGAGGAGGAGAAACGCGCTCGGACGCGCCTGTGGCACGGGCAATATAGCCTTTGATCGGAATACTGAAAGACTGACACGGGGGCGTCACGCAGTCACGTCGCGTCCATGGACTCCCACGTTGTGGCCAGTGCCACTCACGCAGATGCTCTCGGATGCCTCCAGCTTGTGCACTCCCATGTTACTCTCTTCCGGTTCTTCTTCCGTCGTATATGCGTTCACACCATCAGCGTAAACGCAAGGGGCCCTGTGATATTTGGGAAGGCACGGTTGCAAGCACTTCGAATAACCCGGTCTCTCTCAATACACCGTCAAGAACTCCAGAGGCAAAGTTAAGCGGCTCTAGACGAGAGGGGCTGTCTTCAAGACCTTTTGCTCTGCAATGTTGGAGCAAGTGGACGGAGTGGTATCAGTGACTCGAAAATGCAGAGTTATCACCTATGGCTTGACTGATCGGAAACAAGGCGGCGAAAAAATGGGAGAATCGTCCAGCGTCCTCCCTCCGGTCCACTGGAAATGTGATGTCTGGTCTACCTCAAACCTGGATGATAAGAAGTAAATGTTTCCTCACGACTTCGCTCGGATACGTTTACTTGACCGGCTTCCATTCCACTTTGGGCCAGGGAAGACAAACCGACAAGAGATGCCTGTTCAATGCATATAGAGACTTCTGAGTCAAAGCAGCCGCCCGGAGGATATGACCCGACATAACACACCTCCACAACGCATACACGAACTTTGAATCAGGGACATGCTGAGACTGACAGTGGGGAGGCGCAACGCCCGGTTCCGGTGCGAGTTGATTTGTCAGCAGATTGTGGCTGAAAGGTGGTCGCAAGTATCCCCTCGTATTCTTGTGCATTCCTCTGCTCCATTCTCACCTTATGCATGCATCAGCAATGTATATCACTATTGTAAACCAGAAAGAAGGGTATTCTACCATTATAGACTGTAGTAGATATAAACATGTCTGTCTCTTCTTATTCCTGAGCTGACCACCATCGGGATGAAATGATGGTCAATTTCACCGAGGTCGGCAAAGGAGTGCTTAGGGAAGTTATGTATTGTCTTTAGAAACATTTGGAACATATCTATGTGCACACCAGTGGGTGCATTCCCTATCCTTGATACAGATGAGCTTGATTTCCAGGAAGCACAAATCTGTGTAATTAATGGACAAAGCAAGTACTGGATCACAGCTGTAAAAGGCTGAATATATATCTCATGTACTATGTTGATTTTACAATTCTAACATAGGGGAAGGGACCTGCTTCTGCTGCGGCAGGAGAGCCCGGACAGTGACCAGGATATTTGGTGTGACACTTTTTGCGATGGTGTCACAGCTTGTCACGTCCGCGACGCGTTCGGACGCGTCGTTAATTGCTCTTTACTGCCAGAAAACCTACAGCGTGCTACGTTCACATTCACG